GATTGTATTTTCTGTTCATTTGGAGAACAAAGAGGGCAAGGGATCAAATAAGAAAACATGTATTATGGTCTCAGGAACCCTGTGACCATTGTACTTTTCCCAACTTCAGCACACAAGTATAAAAAACTGTAAATCATGTAACAACCTCATTTTTCTCATTTGTGGTGGTGGTGGGTATTGCGGTTTATTCCAGATGCCCATGCTTTGGTCTTGTTCAGAGAGCTGAAATAAAATTATCTACTTGCCAGATCTTGAGATGATAGAAACTACACTGACATAAAGTGTCTGCTGTCCTCAATAGCCATTCTTAGGCTAAGTCTTCATTTGTAATTTATAGGACACTTTAAAGGCAGCAATTGCTAAATTCCCTTGCTTTATTTTTTTTATCTGCCCTAGCAAATATTACCAGTCAGTGGGAAAACATCCACTGCTTCTTAATTTGAGATGAGGCTGGGGCTGGGGCTAGGGCTGGGGCTGGAAGAGAAGACAGACTTTGTCCAATGGCTAGATTGGACAAAAGTTGCTTCCTTTTCTCATAAATACTTTTTGTGAAAAGGAAGCCTGACTAGATCACAGTTAGCTTCTTTTAGGCAGTGCTTTAATGGTATTCTGAAACTATGTTTAATCCTGCCAAAAGTGGACCAATTATTAGATGATATCAGGGGTTGGTTTTTTTTGAGATCAACCAAAGCTTTTTAACCGTGAAAAAAGATGTCAGCCACAACAAAGTGCAATTAAGGTTCCAGCTGTTGTTATGTGCATCAATCATACTATAGTGGCTGCCATTTTTTTATTACACCTGTAGAAACTTCTCATTGGTACTATTTGTAAATTTGCAAAACACTTCTACTTTAAAGCCTCCATTTAAAATATTTTTAGTTTGGAACACCGGCTTATGAAGGTGAAGTTTTGGGTGAAGCATCAGTAGATATTCTGCCACTACAGAAGTGGGATGTTGTGGGCTTGAGGCAGTCATATAGAAATGTTTCAAGCTTGTTTTTAGTGACCCACTGTCTACATCCATTTCAAAATACAGATTAGCAAAAACAAGGATTTGTGATATTGGGGATACCTACCATAAGCTATCCAAGCTTTATTGCACGTAATAGTGATGATGGAAAATCTGTGCTGTCAACAGCAGCAAGACGTTTACTTCAATGCAGAACATGGTGCCCTAAGGCTGAGTCAAGCAACAGTCAGAATTTGAAAAGTAGGATAGCCAAAAGTCATTAGAGGTCACACCTGTTATTACCCAGAGGGTGGCTCCGGACAAGCCATTCGGCATTGTGAAGAGATTAAATTTCAGCATTCTCCAGCTGCTTGGTCTCAGTTCTAGAATCCCTACACATACCATATTCAGAAGCTAGGTGGTGCCCACCCTGTATCAGATATACAGGGAAGACCTGTTGGAGTTGCTGCCAGCAACAAGAACTGATAGTAAAAGCATGTCTCTTCATACACCTTGAGACAGGCTGTTAATCCCTTCCATGCATTGGAGAAAGAGAAGAGAAAGCATTTCTGCTATTGGCAGCATTTTCCAGGCTTTAGTACCCAGTAGTACATTGCTTCCCACAGAGGTCATGGACATAGCCTCTACAGATATAATACAGAGGGCCATGATTCTCATGGATAGCTGGCTATGAAATCTCAGACATGGGCTTACAAATACTGAGAATGGACTAACCTACAAAAGGCAGCCAAGCAGATGCAGTTTTATAATCTACGCCAGCTCTCACAAATTGACATTTCATTATAGGGGATATTGTTGGTATTTTGCCAAGAATTGACATGGATGACTTCAGTCTTGCCATAAGAATGCAGAATATTTTAACCTTAGGTGAAGGAAATACAAAGAAATATGAGCAGAGGCACATCAAGCTCAGCCTATCTTGATCCCTGACAATGCTATGGGAAATCCATTTGACTATTGCTTAACAGCTGCCTAAATACAGGTGACTAGAGGTGGATAAAGATTCATCACAAGTTTAAAATACAATGCATCTATACTCGTGATGTTAGCTAAAAACTTCTTGAGGTCAATCTTGGAATAACTTGTTCCCTTTTCTGGTAAGTCCTTGGGTAATTTTCAGGACAAGTTAAGGATCCCATGTATGTGCTGGTTCGTCCATTGAGTTCAAGGATGAAGGACTACTGAAAGCAATGATTTCTTAAAATGAAATGATAGCTCTGGTCTTAGTAAGGAAGACTGAATTGTGGAATTAATTAATCTGTAGCAATAACAGCAGAAATAGCAAGTAAAGGGTCTGGTTCTGGCAGGGTATTCAGACAACAGCCACACAAGTCGATCAAGAAAACAGGTGATTTGATAGTTTAAACAGTTCTGTGCTACCCCAGACAAGACAGACAGGTTTGCTTCTGTTTTCTTAGATTTGTCTAGTTCTGGCAGTTATCCAGTAGTACAGTTTATCACAGATCATTGTTCTGAATTAGAGTGTTTTCCAGGAGAGGAGACATAGTGATATCCCATTGTTCATTTCTGAACCATTGCCCAACTTTCTTAATCTGGCACTGGAGACTAGTGAGACTTACAGCAGCAATGCTGCAAACATGCCATAATTGGTAAATCTTCTTTCACCCTAATCTCACATTTCATCCTTTTTAATGTGTATGTTTAATGGCACCTGATACCTGAAAAGACTGCTGACTGCAGAGAAGCAGAGCAACCCTAAGTATACCTCAGTAAGTTTCATGATGTTCAGAAGGGTTATGAAAATAAAAGTAATTGTTACAAACCCCAGAGTTGCTTTGAGATGGGTGGCATATAAATGAAATAAATTTGTTAATTCTTAAAAAAAAACCCAAAAAGTAGCATTTAAAACATCCCATTAAGTCAACTCAAAATCCATCCAACTTGGTACATTAACTATACTGTTTTTGTAGTAGATTCATGTATCTATTTTCCTCTTCATCTCCAACCATACATTTAGAGGTGGGTTTTAACATCAGAATGTCCTATTTTCTAAACTTGGGAAGCAACTCTTGTTTGTTTATCCCTGCAGCCGTGGGTGCAACTTGACACCATTTCAGTACCAAGTGGAACTTTCTTTGAATACCTACAGCCCTCCCACATTCCATTCTAGATTCTGGAAGCCAAACTTTTAGGACTTCCTGGCTACCAGCTTTTCCCAACTCCACTTCTGGAGAGGTCATCACAGCTTTCACTTGCTTGTGACCTTACACCAGGGAGGGGTAGGCAACTATGGCAACTTTATGATCTGTGGGCTTCAACTCCCAGAATTCCTGAGTCAGCATCATGAATTCAGCAAGGAATTTTGGGAGTTGAAGTCTACACATCGTAAAGTTGCCCCAGTTGCCCACCCGTACCTTAAACCGAAGTGAGAACTGCTATAAAGAAGTCGAAACTTCGCTTTCACGAAGTGTGTTTTAGGACTGGCTTGTTCAGAATCTCGGATTCATTTTACTCCTTAAACTGGAAGCGGCAGAGTTAAAACATCGAGATAGCAGCCAAATGCGTTGTGACTGTCGGCGATCATAGCCCGTTTAGTAGAAGTCGCCGTTTGGCCCCAAGATCCCGCCGTTAATGCAGGAAACCTGCCCCTTCTCCTACCCCACCTCGCCTCCATTTGACTCGTCGCCACCCGAGGACCCATAAACGAAAACTCCCTTATACCAGGAGGCGCACCCAGGGTAAACGTCAGGAGTTCCTGGCGGGAATTGACCCAAACGTGACTTTTTTTTTTTTTTTTTTGGAAGGCTGAAGCCGGAGAAGGGATGTATGTGAAAATAATAAAGACAGGATATAAATAAATGCATGAACTTTTTTTTTTGTTTAAGTTCCCTCTGGCAAAAGTGCGCTGTGGTTCCAGCAGGCACCAAAGGGTCTCGGTGTGCGCGCGCCCCTCCCCATAGGAAGCATTTTTGAAGAAATGCAGACCGCCGTCTGCTCCTCTGTCCGCGGACAGGGTAGGATAGCAGCCAGACAAGACCAACTGTCCCAAAGAAGCGCTTCTTTGGTTTTCAAGTCCCCCCCATCTCAGCCGAGGGCCGCAGCAAGTTTGCCTCCGAAAAAAAGCGCGGCGGAGAGCGGCGATAAAAGGCTTTTCTCTCAGTCCTTGCGAGGATCCCAGACTCTCCGAGGCGCGGCTGGGAAGGCTCCCCAAAGGGAGCCTCTCCGAGTCATAAAAAGCCCGGTCACCGCAGCGCTGGACGCGGAAGAGACTGCCTTTGATGTCAGCGGGACTCGCTTCCCAGCCACTGGAACACCAACAGGCTGCGGCAACAGCCTCTCCCTCCCGCCCCCGCGTTTCCCCCTCCCGGGAAGCGCTTTGCTGAGCAACAGGATTCTCGGGGGCGGAGGGGAGGGCGCGAGAGGCGGGGTGGGGGTGGGAGAAGAGGGTAACGTGAGCGTCAGCCCATCACACCCCTCCCCCGCCTCCTCTGCTCTGTCTCAACCCGAGCGCCCGCATTCTATTCCCGGGCATGAAAGAGCTGAGAGGGAGGGGGAGGGGAATTAGAAAGCTACTTTTCAGTTTTCGCCTCCTGATTGGCCGCGTCCCTTGGAATCAGCCGACACTCTTCCGGGAAAAGCCAAGAAAAAAACACCTCTTTCTTCGCGGGCGGGGAAGGTCGCTTCTCTCTCCATGCGCCTTGTCTTGAAGTTGGTCCTTCGGAGCGACACCCCCCCTTTCCTGTTCGGGTTTGGTATGTCCCGTTGCAGGACACCTTCCCCTCCTACTCGTCCGGTTCCTCCAACCCAGCTAGAGCGCTTAAGCGGGTAACCAGATATTCAAAAACAATACGTCAGCCCACAATGCCCTGCACGGAGCTCAGGCATTACCTCATCCCACAATGCCTTGCGAAAAGGGGCCGGGAAACTTATTGGGATGGGGTGGCCATGGTGATGGGCGCCTTTGCAACAGGCTGGCCCATCCACCCTCCTCCCCCTGAGAGGCGGCGGCAGCCAATGGGAAGGCCCCGGGGTGACATCATGGGCTATTTTTAGTGGGTTACTGCTCTCTGATAAGTGTTGTGCTCCACGCTGGGAAAGAGCTCAGAGTGAGATTGAGTGCGGCGGGAGAAGCGACGGTGGCAGCGCTCCTGTCCGGCAGGAGAAGAAGCCCAAGCGGCCACAGCAGGGCCAGTTTCAGCTCCAGACGCCAGCAGGGCCCGGGCGGTTATTCCTGAGAACCTGACGCTCAGAGGACGAGCCGGTGCTCCCTTGTTACAAAGTAGGGTCGGGGTCTCTGCGGTTCCCCCCCCCTCCCCGCGCCAGAGCGCGAAGGCTGAACTTGCCCGGGCATCCTTGCTTTGGAGCGCCGAGTGCCTGCTTCCTTGGACCGTTTCAGCTCTTCTTGTCTGGATCGAGAAGTTGCCGAGCGTGGGAATCTCCTCTTTTTTCCCCACCCCCCCCCCCTACTGTGAGCAAGTAGCGGGGCGATCTACTTGTGGCAACTTTTTTTTTTTTCTTTTTTTTGCTTTTTTGGGCTGGGGCAGAGGTGACCTGCTTTTTGACAGCCGCTGCAGAAAGGCGAGGACTCAGACAAGTGGGTTTGAAACTCGGAAACGCTCCAGACCGACCCAGGACACTCCCACGAGGAGCGCGAAGGGGCGGAGGAGGGAAAAAGGACTCAAAAAGTTTCTGGATTTCATCCTTGCACGGAGCGATAAAGAGGCCCCCCGAAGGTGTCGGCAGCATTACCTCGTGGATTCCTTCCTTGGACTGAGAAAGGGATTCTGGATTTGACAAATAACTTTTATTTGGTCTTCCCCCCATCCCCTCCCAACAGTCACAGTCGGGAACTGATGTGCAGGCTGGGTCTTTGAGGTGAAACTCTGTCGAATCTGACTTTCTTTTCTAGCCAAATTGGGGGAGAAAACTGGGGACTCAAAAATCAATGCCTTATTGCAAAAAAGTAAGACTTGAATTGATTACTTTTGAACTGTGTCTTCATTGTTGAAAGAGTATTAGTGCTGTAAGAACTGCTCCTACTTAGTAACTGTTGCAGCTGTGAACTTTAGGTTGTAACAAACCAGCTTCCTTTTTTAGGTCTGTTTTTGGGCTATAGGTGAACAAACTTGTGGACTGTATTCTATGACTGCAAAGATGGAACCTACATTCTACGATGATGCCATCAATGCTACCTTTGTGCAGCCAGAAAGTGGTGCTTATGGATATAATAATCCCAAAGTTCTGAAGCAGAACATGACGCTCAATCTGGCTGACCCTTCCAGTAACCTCAAGCCCCACTTGAGGAACAAGAATGCTGATATCCTGACCTCTCCAGATGTGGGCCTTCTCAAGCTGGCTTCTCCTGAACTGGAAAGGCTGATTATTCAGTCAGGCAATGGACTGATCACCACCACTCCAACCCCAACCCAGTTTCTCTGTCCCAAAAATGTTACCGACGAGCAAGAAGGCTTTGCTGAAGGCTTTGTCAGGGCACTCGCAGAGCTACACAATCAAAACACCATGCCAAGTGTTACCTCCGCTGCTCCGCCTACGAACTCTGGCATGGCCCCTGTCTCTTCCATGGCTGGAAACAGTGGCTTCGGTGCTAACATGCACAGCGAGCCGCCCGTCTATGCTAATCTCAGTAACTTCAATCCTAGTGCACTCAATACAGTGCCTTCCTACAATGCAAACAACCTGGGCTTTCCTCCACAGCATCATATGAACCCCCAGATGCCGGTGCAGCATCCGCGCCTCCAAGCTCTGAAAGAAGAGCCTCAGACTGTCCCAGAAATGCCTGGGGAGACTCCTCCCTTGTCCCCTATTGACATGGAATCCCAAGAAAGGATCAAGGCAGAGAGGAAGCGCATGAGAAATCGAATTGCGGCCTCCAAGTGCCGGAAAAGGAAGTTGGAGCGGATTGCCAGGTTGGAAGAAAAAGTAAAAACTTTGAAAGCCCAGAACTCAGAACTAGCGTCTACTGCCAACATGCTGCGAGAGCAGGTTGCACAGCTGAAGCAGAAGGTCATGAATCACGTCAATAGTGGATGCCAGCTAATGCTCACACAGCAGTTGCAAACTTTTTGAAAAGACTGAAAAGTAACTTTAGGATGATGGGGAGAAATTAAGTTTGGGAGGCAGAACCCCCCTCCACACACACACACACACACACACACTTGTGATGGGTGGAGAGAAAAGGCTGAAAGGCATTGATTCCCAAGACTGCCACCCCGAGTCAAATGCATGTGTGGAAAGACTGGTGTGCCTTCTGAGTGAGGTGGCGGCATATCAGTTGACAGAACAACTCAGCAAAACAGCTGAGCTGTTCCAGCTCAGATAAGGCATGGATGCCTTGTGTTCGTCTTTCTTTTTCTCTCTCTTTTTTTAACATTGACCAAGACTTGCATGGACCTAACATTAAATGATCATTCAGTATTAAAAGTTAAACTGCAGTAGATACTGTAGATGGCTTTCTCTTAGTACTCCTTTTTAAAACAAAAAAATAGGGTGTTTTGGGGAGGCTAACAACAGAAACTGAGCTATACTGCCTATCTGAGTTGTGTATGTACATATATATTTTTTATTTTATGACAACTGATTAATGTCAAGTGAAACTACTTCATGACTTTGTAAGTTATTTTTTATGTTCATTTGGGTTTCACCCAGTATTGTTTGTAAATAAGAGATTTTTTAGCAACTTTTGAGTTTTTTTTCCATTTGTAATAAAGTATATAATTTTTTAATGTTTATTTCTGAAACAAAAGAAAGGGTTGATCTTATTTAAGAAAGCACCAGTAATCCTTAATCACTTTCTTTTGATTAGTATCATTTAGATTTCAATTCTACACACACTTACCTAGGAGCAAGACATGAGGCTTACTGCTGAGTAGACATACACAAAAAAAAAGATACTGTAAATCGGGCATATACAGGATCAACTTTTAGTTGAATGTTAAAACTCAAGTGAGGAATGAGAAACTCTTCTTTGATCTTCACAAACTGTAACAACCATTTTAAAAGTCTTGTGGTAATCCTGTTATAATAAAACTATTGATCTTTAGGGTGCCCTAAGATTCCTTGTGTTCTAAATCCCAGATGGATTTTTCCCCCCTAAGGGCATCAAATTGATATTCCTAGGTTATTAACAATTGTTGGATAGAAAAGATACAAAGACTTACACATTCAAAGATTTATTTTAAGTAAGAGAACTGTCTTCCTCTTAAATGCATAATTTAGGGAGGTTGTATTACTAGAAAAAAACTGGGGCACCAGAAATGCTTGACAATCTATTGCAAATATCTCCTGGTAGATTCTAATCTACTTTTTGCCTACCCCTGCTTTTAACTGGAATGCAAGAAGACATCTCAGTGACCCCCTGTGGTAGGAAAAAAGAGCTGCTATCTAATCTGACTTTAAACTTTTACAGTTTGCTCCACAAAGAACTATTGATACCATTTTAACGGAAATGAAAAAAAGTTGGTAAAATTATTCTGTATCTACGTACTTGTAGAATAAGCTTTTTTAAAAGTATAACTGGCTATTTTACAATTACATGTTCTTTTCTTAATGAAATATTAATAGATAACCTTTGGAAGAAACAACTGTTCTTAAAAGCAGCCTTCAATTTGTCACCTTTCTGTTTTGTTATCTCTGATTTTTTTAAAAAAATGATCTCTGTTCATAAGTATTTAGGACTATGCCTGTTGTCCAATAAAATCATTCTATTAATCTTCCAACAAATATGAATCTCTTTTCCCTCTTTTGGTGGTGGTTCTTTAAAACTATAAATTATTTCATAACAGATTAGAGGGGAGGATAATTTAAACTGGATTATGTGCCTTGGAATTTGGGAAGTAAAATTCATAAATCCTAAAGAGATTTTTTTAAATAATAGCAGATTTTAAAATATAAACTAATAAAAAATGCCATGAACTTAATTCCAAAAGCAAAGCTTCCTCACAGCTGAACACACCAAAAACATATATCCAGTGTTAATCCTAAAATAAAATGTGCCAAATTGGCTAACAGTTTGACTGTTAGTGCTTGATCAATTGCCTTATAAACTTCACTGGAAAGACTGATTTATCTATGTTTATGAGAAAGTTAGTTTTTTCCATTGAAAAGACTGATTTATCTATGTTTATGACAAAATCTTGTCAAAGCTGTAACCCTATGTGGATTTCTTAGTCGTCGTTTCTAAATGTGTTATATTTAAATAGAGTATATTTAATGGTAAAGTCTCAATTACTTCTAGGATTAGTGTCATTCTTAACCAGGTTTTTTTACAACCAGGCTTCATCAATTGCAATGGGGAATATTTACTTAACAGTAGGATAGAATTCTGTTATATATTGAAAAAAGCTTTCTTGAATTTGGCAGGACTTACAAGCAGATGACCTTGGGCTACATAGCCTACATCAGGATTTATATTTTATTTTAAATCTTAGATAGGCAAACCAGCCCTACATTAATGCTAACAAAACATACAGGTGGCCCTGTCACCAGGAGCTGACCTCAACTAGAGAGAGATTTTACTTTTGTAAGAAAATTTAGTTGGCTACTGAGTTCAGTTGGAGTTATTTCCATTTATCTCTAGAAAGTAGTTCAAAGCGTTCAACTGTAAATTTTGAAGATGAAAGGGAATTAAGTGGGCTACCCTAGTCCCTTATCTGCACTTTAGAGTGGATTGAGATTTGCAGTATTCCTTCTTTTCATGACAAATTCATCAGATACAACTTTTCCATGACTGAATTAAGGAAACACTTTAGCAGTTTGATTTCTGCTGTCAAACTGCAGAAGATGATGTTTTTGCAAGGGTGTTACCATTTCTCTGTAAAAAATTCCTCACTGAGTGATAAGTTAGCATGAACTTAGAAGCAGATTCTGCTCTTTCCTTTGTAGTTTCAGAATATTAGTAGGTTCAAAAACACAGGTAATTCATTTCATGCAGGATTCCCCCACTAAATTTCTGCCTATTGTGCATCTGTTAAAATAAACATCCAGAGGCACCTAAGAAATACTTAAATGCAGTATTCCTAGGTAGTATGATGCAACAATTTTTAGTTTTCTTTAGAAAAGTGGTTTCTTTATGATTGAATCTTTCTATAAAGAGGCTGAATTAACAGTGGCAATTGACTGCCACTATTTAATGGTAATCAGTTAAAGGAAAGGTTGTCAAACAAGGGGTTAACCAGGATGATTGCATACTTTGCTGGGTGTCCCTAGTGCTGACACAAGAAAGCTGGAAAGCAAGCTGATTCTGACCATCTGTAGGAACAGGCAATCAAAGGACAGAACAAGCATAAAACTCAGCTGGGTGTGGTCTTGCTGCTCCCCAACATGTGCCAACTAGCAAAACAAACAGCCTACCTGGAAAGGTAAAGCACTGAGAACTATCAAGCTTACTTCTGTTGTGCAAGAGATTTTATAGTTCTAAACATTCCGTGTCACTCTAGATGGGAGCAGACTGCCCTGATTTAATCTCGGTGTTTCTAAACTCCTTGACATTTCCAGGAATGTCTTCTCATTCTACCCTTTTTTTAAGGCTGTCCACTGATTCACCTTGTTTTTTTTTTTACTTTGTTTCCAAATAGCAGTATCCACACAAAAATAAAATACTGGAGAGGTTCGGTGCAAATTTAAAGAAGGGATTCTTAAGGATTCCAGCAAGTATTTTTAAGTCAAGAAAAAGACTGCTTGAATTTTCCTAGATACAGCACATACCAACTCTCTGCCAATCTGCTTGGGGGCCATTCTAGAGGATGCTTGGTCCTGGATTTTGCCTTTTGGTATGACTCTTGTATCTTTATAGCTTGATTTGCAAAATATGTTGAATCAAATTAACCATGTGGGCCTATGCCAGGGGTAGGCACCCTTGGCTCTTTTATGACTCGTGTTCAACTCCCAGAATTCCTGAGCCAGCTATGCTGAAATTGAAGTCCATGAGTGATAAAAGAGCCAAGGTTGCCTACCCCTGGCCTATACTCATTGTGTTTTGCATCTCATTGTCTGGGCCCGAGACAGAGAACCAGCCAATCACAAGCTAGCCCTGTCCAAATTTGTGCATACCCAGGAAATGGGATTAAGTAATCTATGACTCATTTAATATTGGGCAAATATATTGTGTGAACACAGCCCATAGGTTGTGCAAACCAAGTTGATGTGCGTAGCTTATGATTTGGTGAGTTGAACAAATTTGTGTCAGTAGTTCAGTTATCTAGGGCTTAGCTTGCATGAATATACCTTTCTGAGATGGATGACAATGCAGTCAATAAGATTTTTTTTTCATATTTGAGTTATAGGAATTGGAAAATGTTAACCAATTTCAGTTAATAAAAGAACTGTTAAAGTTACCAAAGCCCTCACAACCACGGACAACTTTAGAAGAAATATAAAAACAGGAGAGTTGGATGTCTTTATTTTTATTTTTAATGAACAGAAACTCTATAAATCAACTGTAGATATCAGTGGCACTTGAAAACTAGCACATTTATTTAGTATTAGACAATCCATGCCCTGTTGGGTCATTATTTTGGAGATATTTCCTTACCTAAACAGAGAAAGGAATGACCACAGGTAGGCAAAAAAGCAGTAATAGCAGGAGTGACTTATGACTTCCTGCCACCTTTCCCATTGGGTCTCCTTGTGAGAATATCAGAAATATCCCTCCCTCCTCCTTCCATTCCCTTCTCTTCCCAGCAGGAGCAAGGAATTGCAAGAGTGGCTGGGAAACTGTCACAGAACATTGAAAATGAGGATCATGTGACCAAAGCCGCAACCTAAAACAGCTACATTTGTCTCAAATTCCATTCCCTCAGGAGTCGGTGAGTCTCGGACTTTGGAGGTATTCTGTAAGTTAACACATTTAAGATACCTTGGTTCAGAAATTGTTGCCCTGTGATGTGTTGTTTTGCTCAGTTAAAATTTATATAAACAAAGGTTTTATTGGTATACAGATTTCTTTTTACAGAGTAAAGTTCATTTTACCATGTATGTGACATATTATTCTATGTTACAGTTGCTACATTTCATTTATGAAAAAAGAAGCCCTGTGGAGCATTTTCCTGGCATCCTTTGCTACTGTGCTCCAACCAGTTTGAAGCAATGAACCAAATGTTTAAAGAACAGTACAATGGCATTAGTCCAAAGGGAAAAATGCTAAATTCTACCTTCTCACAACCCCTCCCCCCCAGGGCCAGATTTCCACCATTTTACAAAACTTCATTAGGGAGTTCTTACAGTTCTTATATATGAGGGCAGTTTGGTTTAGGTAGAGGTGCCATCACTAACAAGACCCTACTATGCAGATGAAATTCTTTGGGAAAATGATCAAATGTCATAGGATAAGCAGATTTATTTTGGAGCAGATCGTGAGAATAACCAGGCCCTGAGTCCTGTTGACATAATATGCTCACAGCATAATATTTATTTCTAATGACTGGTCCTCTAGCACTATGAATTCTTCATTAAATGATTTAAGATTCTTCTGGCAGCTTCCACTAGAGCTAAGTAAGCCTGAAATAATTTTTTGAATTTCCAAAACTGTCACTAAATCAGCATTTGTTGTATGAAATCACAAATCTCTTCAAGCTGAAATGGCATTTTAAATATAATTATTTCTTTGACTATAAAAACTGACACTTTAATAAAAACAAAAGATTAATACATGGCTAGATCAAACAAAGTTATAATGCATTTACTTTGGGGGATAGTGTGAACTCAGATATGATTTATAGTTTAGCATGATATTGAAACCAGGCATTATACCTTACTCAGCCATTATGGTCTATTAAACAAACTATGTTTCATAAAATTCCAGATCTCCAGAAAGAAACATAAACTAAGAAGTGGGAGGATAAAAGATAACAAAAACTTAAGAAGATGGTAACATGCACAAAGACCATTGGTGGACCAGATGAAGATCTGGCTCGACTTTCTCCACTCTGGCACCCTCTATATCAGGGATGTCCAACATGGCAACTTAAAGGCTTGTGGATTTCAACTCCCAGAATTCCCCAGCCAGCCATGCGGAGAGTTGAAGTCCACAAGTCTTAAAAGTTTACCAATGCTGGATGCCCTTGCTCTGTATATAGGACTGGGAAAGCATTTCTTCATATTTCTTGAGAGGCCTATTCCATCCCAAGGGGGTAATATGAAACAATCACCATTAATAGTCTTTCCCATTATAGATTTGCTTAGGCCCCTTTTCCAGACTGTTTTTTGTTATACCATGAGTTATCAACACAGAGACATTGCATTAGTCTTGATAGTTCTGACATCTGAAGCTGTTTGACAAACGGGATGAAGAGCCTTTCCAGCTAGCTACACAAAACGGGTTTATAAATAAAAAAATTCAGACATGTCTGGGATGGACATATCGCATGGACATGAGGCAAGCTTGAATTAAAAATCTCAAAAGGTGCTATTTCTTGAGAACAAAGCATGTGGTCAACTTTTTTTTTCTTTTTGCAAACCACATTTTCCTGAGTATATTTTCTGCTTCCAAACCCATTGACTGCCAAAAGAGGGGGGGGTGGCAGAAAGGCTTGGAAAGATCAGATATGAGTTTCTATCTTCTCCAGTAACAGATTAGGTCCTCAGGGACATCTGTTTTATCTTTTGAGAATGTTCTGGCTAAGGAGAGTTTCTTTAATCATCCCCCACAACAAGAGACATTTTCTAGGGAGAATATTCATGCCCCTGAAGGGAGTTTCTACCAAACAGAAACAAATCCTCTCATT